TTGCACATTTTAATCGTTTAAATATACCAGTTTTGGTGATTACTAAATGGTGAGATATGCGAGACATGAAGAGACAAAAAAAAAACTTCGATAAATGAGAAATGCCAAACATAATGCAAAGCTCTTCTGGAATACTGAACACATAATGACTTATATATAGATAATTACAAAGCCTCTCTCCTCTGAATAATTTACCAATTACTACATATATTCTAGATTATATTTAATATATGACACTTATACACCGGCCAAGTTATTGACAGCGTGAGTAGCCAATCAGCGACCACGTTGTAGCTGCCGATTCCTCGCATTAATGAATAAAAGCCGTGGCGTTACTGGCCATAATTTCCCACTATAAACCTCAAAGCAGCTATCCTGACAGTTTGAGTGCCTTGTTGAGTAGGTGGAGTTAGGTGTGTATACACTTTGCAAGCTTCAAACTTCCCTTTTTGTATTTGACTTAAACCATTTTGCATATCACGTACATTATTATCTTGATCCCACGCCCCACGATTACCCAACCCGCCAAAACATCATTTTCAGACCGTTTTGCGGTCCCTACATTTAGCAAGATCCTACTTGGACCCAGTTGGAGATTCAAAAACTAGTTTATGATATATTCATTTATGCATTGATTAGATGGACAGAACTATCAACAGCCTACAACCTTTATTGACACTTGAAAAGATAGTGGTTGCAGATGTCGTGATAAATATTCCGAAACCGGAAGTAGAAGAATGGAACAGTAACTGTATTCTGATCAATTGAATCAAAGCTCCTCCAAAATCTTATCCTCGACAAAGAAGAACAAAATCTTGTAAATGTTGTGGGTCATAATTCCTTAATTCTATGGTAATATGATCTTAGTTAGATCTTGTCATCAATATGGAAATTAGAAATGGGACATCCTCCTTACTCCTGCTGTCTTTCACGAGGGACTTTGCTAATAAGCTTATCAGAGTGTTGCTGGCACAGCGAATAGATTGTCTTCATAAAAATCCTTGAATTTTTAAGACATACTGTTTTTATCTGACACTAAACTAAACTAAACTCCTTGACCTTACTGATTTCACCGGATGTATTATTTTGTTGGTGTTTTTTTTTTGTAGAGAGTAAATAGTTCTCATTCTCATCAAAGAGTTTCACTTTTGCACACATCTTAAATGATTTTGTGGCAGTTGTGGACATTGAAACTATATGTTGTCTCTCCTATTTTTTTATGTGCAAATTGCAAGTGCTAGTGCTGCCACATAGTGCATTTTTGTCACAGAAGTCATATTCATGTTTTGGACTACATGACAGGGCTGTGTGGCCATCTCTCTTTCAATTGGCAATTGAATGCGCTATCCTGGCGTCAACCAGGCCTGGTTGAACATAGATACCTGCGGACCTTTCGTTAGTAATTGAATCTCTGCGACACACTCATCCAGGGTAGGGGGGGTGACCTATTTTGGTGTTCAGCCTAAGGCAGAATTTGAACTTGGATCTACCGATCATGAGTCTGATGCAATCACGGTGCTACCAGTGACAGGATTGTTTGGTTTGTGATATGACAGTGACTGGTCACTTGTAAAATATTACATAAATGAATAGACCTGAAAAATAACAATTCTATAAATTAACTGCATACTAGTATAATGACTGAAAGCCTAGGACAAACTAGTATGTGTATGGGAATGTTCGGTACCTGACGTTTCCTATTTGTGTCTAATTGTATCATTCGCACCGTCGTCCCGTGGATTTTAGGTAGTTAGCGACTGGAGTTCACGAATTAAAGCGTCGACTGTGACCCCACCTTTGCAACCGTAGCACTAGGTTTCTTTCCAAGTTTGATTTCTGATTTCTCTAACTTCGATATTATACGCCAGGTTCGACTATAGCACGCTTACTGTAGTACATGGATCTGTCATCAGATTTCAGGGTCACACAAAAATAGCAACAACTCCAAGCTGTCTCAATTATTAAATAGCATGACGTCATACAGTTTAATGTGTGAATCATTAAAGCGGGGGGTCGTCACCTGGATTACCCAACAATTATTACATTCCCAATATGAATCTCACGTCCAGTCAAAATTCGCTAAAATACAAAGCAACAAGACATTGGAACTCTCTCCCCACTGAAGTAAAAAATGAAACACGCAGATATAGTTTCAAATCAAAATTAATATTCCACCTTCTATTAAATAATTAGTAAATTTTTTTTTTTTTATGTTCTTATATTTTACCCTGATTTAATTAAATTCAGTCCTCTTATTGCTTACCTTCCATGTTCATCTCTCACCGCCACTATATTCATACTTGCGATATTATTTTATTATTAAATGTATTATTATCAGTCAATATTTGTTATTTTTCTGTATTATTGACAAATAATTCTGACACTTGTTGGGTAGACGCTTTTCCATTTTCGCCTTGCAGTTACTGTTATGAAAGCAGTGCCTTCATTTACATATTATGTATTTAATGATT